TTTTTTTTTTCTTGGGGAGCAAAACTTGATTTCTGAACTTCAAGCTTTGAGTATACATGTCTAAACTCAAACAAACTATGCTGTTAGATAAACTTGTCATCGTTATGTTTTAAGTATTTCCATATATTGCTCCACCAATAATCTAACATTCTGCTTCATAAAATATTGCAGTCTTCACGTTTGGCATGTGTTAAGTTAAAATCTTTTAAGAAGTCTTGTTGAAACTATGGTCTTCTTTTCTTTATTTAATTAAATATCCTTAATTAAAGACAATCCAAAAGTAATGGAAAGTAATCAGACTACATTAATACAATAATACTTTGGATTTTGTTACAATTCCATTTTTAACATGGATGCTGTGTAAAAGGTAAATCAATGTAAAAATAAAAACAGAATGCAATAATTTGCAAATCTCATAGACCCATATTTTATTAACAATTGAACATAGAACACATGTCAGATGTTGAAAGTCACACATTTTACCATTTCATGAAAAACATTGACTCATTTTGAACTTGATGGCAGCAACATGTCTCAAAAAAAGTTGGGACAGGGCTATGTCTACCATTGTGTAGCATCCCCTCTTCTTTTAACAACAGTCTGTTGTTCCAAAACCTCTATATACTGTTCAGCATTGATAGTGCCTTTCCAGATGTGTAATCTGGTCCCTCTCCTCTTCAGTCTGTAGGATATGGCATCTGTGGTTTCCAAAAAGGATTTCAAATTTTGATTCATCTGACCACAGAACAGTTTTCCATTTTGCCTCAGTTAAATGAGCTTTGGCCCAGAGAACACGGCAGCATTTCTGGATTGTGTTGACATATGTCTTCCTCTTTGTAGGATACAACTTGCACGGTGAACTGTGTTCACAGACAGTGATTTCTGGAGGTGTCCCTGAGCCCATGCAGTGATTTCCAGTACAGAATCATACCTGTTTTTAATGCAGTGCCATCTGAGGGCCCGAAGATCACAAGTGTCCAATATTGACCGTTGGCATTGCCGCTTGTGTACAGGGATTTCTCCAGATTCTCTGAATCTTTTGATGCTATTATGTACTGTATATGGTGGGATATCCAAAGTCTTCACAATTTTATGTTGAGAAACATTTTTCTGAAATTGTTCCACAATTTTTAGATGTAGTTTTTCGCAGATTGGTGAACCTCTGCCCATCTTTTCTTCTGAGAGACTCTGCCTCTCTAAAATGCTCTTTTTATACCCAGTCATGTGAGTTAGTTGCAAATTGCTCCTCTAGCTTTTTTTATTGGTACCACTTACTTTTCCAGCTTATTGTTGCCCTGTCTCAACTTCTTAAATTATCTTGAATTTCATATGTAATCTAGAAGTCTAGAAATATCTCCTGAAAAATTAATTACTTGTATTTAACTGTCATTTCCTCTGGAAATTAATTTAATGCAGGGTGGTCTCTGACTGTCAATCAAATATAAGGATGTGATATACAATTGATTGTCATGTCATAACAAATAAAAAAATCTTACCATTGAACAACCATAGTAGCAACGCGTAAACCCTCCTGCTAGTACCAAAACCAGTGAAAACAATGTGATCGTTATTGCTGCAGTTATTGTGCTTATCACATTCATCACCAGAGCACTCGTCACCTAGATGAGAAATCAGAAAGCAAAAGCAAAAGATGAGCACCAATAAAAAAATTTTCATTCAACTACTTTGATTTCCAATATTTCAGTCAGACTGAAACACAAAAGGCAACTGAAACAACATTTCTAAACAAAATGCACAACAGTATAATCAGAGAGGGAACATATGCTGTCCACTGTAATTCAGTCTTGAGGCTAGCAAGCTAAACTGTTAGGAACATAGACCATTAATGCTAACTCCTGGGCAAAGCTGACCAACTGATGCTTCAGCAAAAAATATAAGGGCAGATTCCACCCATACTGAGGCAGATTTTGCATGTAAAGCAGCATCTGGAAACTTTAGAGGGCTTTGGTATGTAAATCGTAAGTAAATGCTTGGTTTATTTGACATTACGACTGTTTTTTAGTCAGCTATTTACTCAAACCTAATTCTATGATTTCTTAATGTTAAACTCTTCATATGTTAAAATTAAAATGACCATCACTTGCTAACAGTCAGTTAGCTCATCTTTATCTGCTGTGGAACATAGATTAAAAACTCACCTCTTTTAGATGAATGTTTGCTGTCACAAAATAATAAGAAAATAGTAATCTCATTTTGAAGTTGTAATGGTGTCTAACTTACATTCCATTTCTAATAAACTAGTGTGTACACTTGTTAAAGTTGTTGCCTAACTAGATAACTAACCTGTTTGTGCATGCTTAGCTAGGTTCTGCGATATGTGGGGTTGTTAGCTTGCTGGCTAGCAGGATAATGGCTTCACATACCACAGACCAGGTTTGAGTTTAGATAAAACCAGAAATCTGAGGGAATGTCTGGAGCTGTAGTTACAGATAAAACAATAAGTTGTTATTTCAACTGAGCTGTGATTTGGTAATTGGATGCTCAGTGACTTAAAATCCTGTATCAGACTAATCTTTGTCAAATCTTTGTTCTCTGTTGTCCACATTTACTGCTTTAAGGTTTATCCTTATGGCCAATGTGTACTCTTCTTGTGATGACCTCCACGTCTCTTAGGTCTATAATCACCATTTCTCAGGTATGGAAGCAGTTTTTATTTAGATTTCTTTCTCTATCATGTTGCTGGTTTGTTTTTGTCAGTTTTTTCACCCAAAATAAATATGTCTGTCTTTGACAAAACGTCACCATGACTATGTCTTTGTTTCCATCTTTCATGATTGACTATTGACTGTAATAACCATTGGCAAAGAAAAGATTAAGAACACTTATTAAATTGTTTACTCCTTGATTATTACATTTTTTTTACTCTTTTTTTGAGTCAATTTTTAAGTCAGTGTTAATCTGATATCGTAATTCGTTGAAACTATTATTTGTCATTTTTATTTTACTTGTGTACTTATATAACACATATTATACATCTGGTGAGTGTTTATTATTAATTTGCTTACTTTTTATTTTTATTTTTAATTTAAATTTTATTTTATTTACCAATTTTTATTTTTAAGCAGGCATGAAGAATCCACCTTCACAAGCTGACAGTGACAAAGAAATTGACCAGGGAGTGTATATATATATATATATATATATATATTATATATATATATATATATATATATAATCAAGTTTAATAGTGAACTGCACACACCAATTTAGTTTGTAACTTTTTGGTAAACATCATTGTAACTGTTTCTTTACTTATGTAATTGTTATTTTAACTAATTTTGTCTCAATTGTAAGTTCTGTATATCTTTAGACAATTAAAGCAATTGCTTCAAAATGCTTTGTGGTGTGATCTGTTCATGTCCACATGCTGGTGAACACAGGTGAGCTTTAAGATTTGTGAAATTTACTAGACATGATACTGTATACAGTGGCTTAATGTATGACATTACAGATTATTGGCAGATTATTGATTGCTCAGCTCAAAGAGCTTTTCTCGAGACTAGTTGTACTTCCTAGTACAACAAATGTTCTCATGTTAGCTCAACTAAATATTAATTTTAGTGTTGACAAAAAATGTCAGTAAGGATAACTAATAATTTACAAAAGTTGAGTGAACAAGAAAAAATTCTGGGAAATTCCGTAACAAGTTTTTTGTGTGTCATTGTGGAAGCTAAAAATAAGAACAGTGTAATGATACTGATAATCAGTTTAGTTCAGAATCAAACTTTCTGTTACCTACAGCTGAATTTCTGCACAATTAAATTCTTAAGATGTAAACAAAAGATTTTTCTGAAATTCTTTTGTCAGGCACACACTGAAGTTTACAAAAGATCATATTTAGATCCTTGTTACACCTGAAGCTCAAAAAATTTTGCACTTACTTAAAAAGCATTAGCATGACCCCTCACCCCTGCTATTAAGTAATGTAAGTTATCAGTGTATTAGTTAAAGGCAGCCAATAATGTATTCAATCAGCTTTCATTCATTACTAAATGCTTAATATATATCATGTAACAACAATGTAACTACAGGTGATGTATTCATTGTTACAGATGGATTGCAGTAGTACAGCCTATGTAAATACACAAGTTAATCAACTTCAATTTTTACTCATTCAGTTGCACAAGTGTTTCATGATAATCATAACAGCTTATTGTCTCTTATATAATTATCAGTATGTCATAGAGTTTCCAACAAGTCTTATATGATTGTAACAGTTGTGCAATTAACTGCATAATGAGAGTGTCTGCAAAGGAAACACCAACTTTCCTAACAGTTATCTAGCTGCAGTATTATGCTTGTGTTTTTTCATGGTAACTAAACTAACCCTCTGTCTTTAAAGCATTCTGTATTGTGACTGTATTCACACAGTAACAGCACATATCTGTAAAAGTAACAATTTAATCGAATTAATTAAATCAGGTGTTGTTTTGTACTGCCCTAAATGCAATATCTAGATGAGCAAGCTTCAATTTCACTGCACTTGCATACAGATCCACACAAAGACATTATTAATTTCAATCTGTAAATTCACAGTACCTACATGAATATCTATATTTTAAATCAACAGAGAAATGGACATATGCTGTTGCCATGTAAAGCATGGTAATCTAATCAAAGTCTGTAATGTTTTACACAGCAGAAGCTTATATATCTCATCTTATACAAACTTAACTACCATAACACTGTTACACATGTGTAATTACATGAGAAGAAACATGCTGTTACAGCTACTGGGATATACTTGTGTTACTACATGAAGAAAACTGACATTGATACACATAACTGCACAGAAACTGGGAACAAATTATTTCTTTGTAATAAATGATATAGTTCAGTTATTTACTAACCATCGACAACATAGTACAGTTTTAATGATTTTTCATGATAAGTTTATTGAAATTAGTCTCAAAGCACCTTTCTGCAATCAATGTAAAAACCACTAAAACTGGTGTTTACATACCACACAGCGATGAAGGTTTTTACTTGCTGAAACAGCCAGAGAGCCACTCATGACATACTGAGTGAGAGGAAAAAGAGAAGAGTTTTCTTTTAAACTGGTATTGGGAAATATTTATGTATCTCAATCTGATGGAATACCAGCAGATAAAACTTACCATCAAAGCACACCAAAATGGAATTCCGTTGGAGACAGTGAACGCAAGAGAATTGAAGAACATCACAAAACCAAGCAAGAGTTTCAACAAACCAATCATTATTTGAATACTCTTTGGGAAAAAGAAAGAGAGAGATGTTTGACTGATTTCAATACTGGTTGAATTTGAGTACTGAAAGTTGTAGATGTCTATTGCAGCTGATTCAAATACATTTTCAGTAGAGCTCAAATGACTCATTTTTAATAAACTTCAGTGCATGTAGGATGTTTAAATGAAATAAAATTTGGAATGTCTCTGTATGTCACTCCATGACAAATTGCCCAAATAATGTTTCAACAAAATGTTTGAATAAGTAATGTGATTTCCAAGGCACATGTTTATATTCACAACAGCAAATATATGAATATATTTTATAGTAAGTTCCATAACCATGGAATATAACCACATATACATCAAAATTCAAACTTTTAGCAAATGTGAATTCCCCATTTCTGAAATTCCCTCTTTCTAAAGCCATCACCACTTTACAGACTCTTTTAAATGGCTGTATGTGCAACTGTATTACAGTCTGACATCCACTGACAAAAGTCTGACACACAACTGTGTGTAATCAGCATAGCTATCACAGCTGATCTCGTGTTTTCTGAAGATGACTTTACCAAGAGTTAACATACACAAAGAGAAAAAACTGCCCTAAAACCAATCCCACTGTGACTCCACGGGAAATTTCACAATGTAACCAGGAACTATGGCTGCATCCCAATTGTGTACTACACACTAATACTATACAGTACATACTGCATACTAATCTTAATAGTATGAGCTTGACAGATTAGTACACAAAATATTAACATACTAAACCATTCTTACTAACAGGAAGTGACGAACCGTTGCTATGACAACGCACATCATAGCAAGCTGGACTCTAAAGGCTACCTAACAAATTAACGTGCGTTCACAAACAAATTTCTTACAGACACATTCTTACAGAATATTTTACGAATTTGGGATGAACTTAAATTTATGCACCATTTCTGGTCCCACTACCACCGCAGCTGCTGTTGCGTCGCCGTCCGCCATTTGTTTAGAATTTTCCAGATGCGAGAAACTCCTCGCTTTCTGTTTCACGTCGGATTGTGGGACAATAGTGTCCATCATTACTATACTCAAAAATCAACTGGTTGTAAGAATGCATTGTGGATTTTTGAGTATACTCAACTTTGACACTTGTGACTATACTACATACTACATGCTCAAACACTAGTTAGTAATAGTATTAAGTGCGCAATTGGGACGCAGTGTATATGTTCATTCAATGTAACCTGAAGAATCCACTAAAATAGTTACGCTTCCGTAATAAACATAAACTAAACAAGCTGTTCATGACTGTTTCACTTTGGCAGAGACTGTAAATCTTTTTTCTGGGAATGTGTTGGCTCACCAAGTACTTCAGGAAATGGAAACTAGTTTTCTTTTTTTGTGTTTCCTCATGTTTGCTTGTCATAGATTACCTAGATTTTGAATGAGGAGCTGAAACAGCTTATTGTGGCCAGCTGTTTTTACAACTAAACAAAATTTTCATATATGAACTGGAGAGTAAACTGTATGTTTTAAAACAAAAAATATATATATTAATGCTTAAAAGCTTCAAGAAACGTATTTCAAGAAGGTAAGAGATTTTCAATGACGTGTGCTACTTCACACAAAACCTGACCAGCAAGTTGGGTCACTTACTCCTAATAATTTTGGTTTTCCTTTCAGAAACTTCTGAAGTGGGCCTACAGTGTAGATCATTTGCCCAGGTTCAGTTGATGTTGGTGGGGAGATCACTTGGGTCACAATGGTGTAGCCATTCCTGGTGTTAGAGAGCGGAACAGCAGCAGTGTCCGACATCTTTATAGCAAACTGAATTATTCACCTGTGAAAGACCAAACATTCATCACACTGTCAGTACAAGAGAACTAGAACAGAACTGTTAAAGATCACAATTAGGCTGGCAGTGCTTGAGGGCAGTTAAAAGCTGCTGAATGTCCACTGTTCACTTCTCATTTTACTTTAAAATCAATGAAAATGTTTTGAAAGTAAAATTTTATTTTTATTAAGAAACTGTGTCCATGGAATGAAAACATGGACTTGCTGTTCTTTTAATATTGCATTGAAAAGTGTGTTCAGATATTGAGGAGTTGCTATTAGAGTTAACATTAAACATTGACAATTACACACTAAATAAAGCAAGACAAAGAAAGATAAACAGCAAACATTAAGTACACACAAGAAAACATCACGTCACACTGGATATCAGTATAGTTGTACAGATTTTTTGGTTTTAAAAAGGTAAAAAAAACACGATAAACATTCAGAAAAGTGCTATGTATAACGTGGTTGCTGTAAAAAAAAAACAGTGACAACAAAAGACAAAAAATTAGGCATAAAATCAGGCTTACAGGCAAAGAACTATAGATATACATATTGTAAATAGATTATTATGTTAAATACATGAATACTTAATACATATTCATAAAATAAGTTTATGAAACTACCTGCAAAGAAGAGCTGCTGTTTTTGACGTGGAGTGCAGGTGGTGTTTGCTGTTTCTCTTTCTCTTCTGAATTTTTTTTCTTTACCCCTCAGGAGGAGTGGCTTACACACTGCTTTCCACAGAAAATGAAAGTATGTATTCCTGTAAGCTGGACCAAGTCCAAGTAGGAGGGACTTAACAGGTTTGCATTCTGTTAAAGGCTTTGTCAGTAGTCTAAAACAAATGTAAGCAAACAAAGTTTTACTCGAGTTATTCTGTTCTGTAGCTTTAATTTAGCCTTTTCATTTTGGGGACTCTTTATTTTAGGAGAGCCGAGGCTGACAGTGAGAGTGAGCCTACATGGGGACAGTGATTCTCCCTTTTCTGTGCGCTGTTCTAAGCTGAGTTATGGACCAACATTTTGATGTCTCTGAGTTTCTCCTCCTGTACGAGTGCTGGACCTGCTAGAGTTCAGTTTGTTTGTCTGTAGTCTAAAACAAATATAAGCAAACAAACTGAACTCTAGCAGGTCCAGCACTCATACAGGAGGAGAAACTCAGAGACGTCAAAATGTCGTTCCATACCTCCGCTCAGGACGGCGCACAGAAAAGGGAAAATCACTGTCCCCATGTAGGCTCACTCTCACTGTCAGCCTCGGCTCTCCTAAAATAAAGAGTCCCCAAAATGAAAAGGCTAAATTAAAGCTACAGAACAGAATAACTCAAGTAAAACTAAACTCAGGGATGCCATGATGCCACAAGAGCTTGAAATTGCAGTATTTTCTGATGTAAAAATTTGTCTTGTCTGATCCATCCTAGATGTGATCTTCCAACCGACTTAAAAACTTGTCTGAGTAAGAGATAGGGTGGCACAATGATGAAAAAATGTTATGATCTCATGAGCCCCTTGTTGACTGAGGCTAAAAAAATTGCTTTAATGAGATAATATGAAATGTTTGTATGTTTCTAATAAATACATAAATATAGAAGCAAATATTCACAGTGCTGACATTCAGTGGCTCAAAAAACTTGCAGCGCAGGCCCTCATTTGGTCAATATAAAAGAGCAAAGACACAGTTAGAATAAATTATTTCAATATTCAAAGGCGACTCCCTTTGACTTTCAGACATTTAACATGAAATCTAAAGACAGATGAATTACATTAGGCTGTGATTCAAACTCAGGATTGGAAGGATTTCTCTGAAAAAGTATTGGCAGTAAATTCACACACAACAATAACAACAGGTTTAAGTGAATTCATAACCTTTACAAATTGACAATGTCATGAATTACAAGAAAACAACAAAAAATGAAAGACAAAAAGAAAGGAAGAATGTTTGTCATAGAGTTTTTACCTTAATGTGGAAACCTTATCATAATTCTTTAATGTAAAATCCAAGGCCCCTACACAGAAAGTTTAGCTTCACCTTCCTGCATTTGTGCTTAGGTATAACTCTCTTGTTATCCAATATTTTTATATTGTTATTCTTCTCATCTTATTGTTCTGCTAAATTTCCGTCTGCTAACTCGTTCCTCAGGTTGAAATTTCAACAATGAACTCCAGAATATTCAGTCTGATTGTATGAGGCAGGTGGGTATACATTTGCAATACCACCTGCAATACATCCATCCATCATCTAAAACCGCTTATCCTTCTGGGTCGCGGTGGGGTGCTGGAGCCTATCCCAGCTGTCATTGGGCGGAAGGCAGGATACCTGCAATACAATATAAGACAATACCCTAGCAATTGCGCAGCAATACACTTCCAACCACCTACAATAGCATAGCAACCACTTAGCAACAACCTAGCAACTACCCAGAGTACAACTGAAGATAACTAATAAGACTCCTGCAAACTCACACACACACACACACACACACACACACACACACACACACACACACACACATCATCATCTAAACCGCTTATCCTTCTGGGTCGCGGTGGGGTGCTGGAGCCTATCCCAGCTGTCATCGGGCGGAAGGCAGGAAACACCCTGGACAGGTCGCCAGTCTATCACAGGGCAGACAGACAGACACACACATTCACACTCACAGCTAGGGGCAATTCAGCATGTCCAATTGGCCTGAGTGAATGTCTTTGGACTGTGGGAAGAAACCGGAGTACCCGGAGGAAACCCACACAGACACGGGGAGAACATGCAAACTCCACAAAGAAAGGACCCTGGTCACCCAGAGTACAACTGAAAATAACTAATAACACTCTTGCAAACTCCTGGAATACAATAGCAACCATTTAGTAACACTTTAAAAATGCCTGGGAATTGCTTAAGCTGTGAAATCAATAACTGAAATGAACTTTCTTTAGTTTTATTCTTTTGTGTTGGTTCAGCTCCCATATGGCTTTACTATTATGCAAACATCTCACTGTGAAGCTTTAGTTTTTATGCCGAAAGATTTGTGAAGAATTTCTACACTGTGAAACATGATTCATGATTCATGATTCTTACTTAAAAAAGTAAGTAAACAGGTTGCCATATAATTTTGAGTGAATTGAACTTACAATTGTAAGTTAACAGAACAGTAATCTATGTTTTACATTCTGTTAACCTAATTTTTTAAATTTCTGTGCATTTTTAAGGCAACCAGTTAACTTTCCTACTTATGAATTACAGTGTGGGCGACACAGTGGCGCAGTGGGTAGCGCTGTCGCCTCACAGCAAGAATGGCCTGGGTTCGATTCCCGGCCGGGCGACCAGGCCGGGAATCTGTGTGGAGTTTGCCTGTTCTCCCCGTGTCTGCGTGGGTTTCCTCCGGGTACTCCGGTTTCCTCCCACAGTCCAAAAAACATGCAGTCAGGCTGATTGGACTTGCTAAATTGCCCCTAGGTGTGAGTGTGTGTGTGAATGTGTATGTTTGTCTGTCTGCCCTGCGATGGACTGGCGACCTGTCCAGGGTGTATCCTGCCTTCCGCCCAATGACAGCTGGGATAGGCTCCAGCACCCCACCGCGACCCAGAAGGATAAGCGGTTTAGATGATGGATGGATGGATGGAATTACAGTGTATTCAGTGTATTTTTGGAAATGTCCGTTTACTTTTTGAAGGTCATTATTTCTGTGAAGTAACAGTAACTTTGTTACATTCCCCTCACATGTACCTAGGGGTAGAGAGGATGTAACATGTGGTATGTGATGGCAGATGGAAAGGAAGGACACAGACAATAGTAGTTGCCATTTCAGTCAGTGCTTTTTATTTTACTTACCGCTTGCAGGAATGTATGATACAAAGTGGTACCACATATCAAAGAACAGTACTGACAAAGAAAGGAGTGAGAATGATGTAGTTTTACAATGGGCTACCAATAGCAACAATATATAGGATGAATATGGAGGTAAGATTCACCTAAACACTGATTTAGTATGAATGCTGACTTGAATTATCCAGCCAACAGCAAAGGTGGACTGAGGATGGTGCCAATGAAATGAAAACTATAAAACAACGGCTAAGAACCTTTTTTACACTAATCAGGTTTATCTGCATATACTTGTGTGTATACAGATCGTAAAGCTTGTATGCTTCAAATAACATAGAATTCTATTGAATTAGCTGTGTTTGCATCAATTTAGAAGAATTTTCATAAGCTAAAATGTCATAAATGGAAGGTACTTTAGATTACAAAAGATTATTATTTAATTTGACAACAGGCCACTCTCTAGGCAGTCATGGGCTGGAGGTTAGGGAACCAGCCCTGTGACCTGAAGGTCGCCAGTTCGATCCCCTGAGTCGACAGTACATGACTGAAGTGCCCTTGAGCAAGGCACTGAACCCCCAACTGCTCCCTGGGTGCTGTGAATAGGGCTGCCCACCGCTCCAGGCAAGTGTGCTCACTGCCCTCTAGTGTATATGGTGTTTCGCTGCATAGATGGGTTAAATGTGGAGGTGCAATTTCCCTGTTGTGGGACTAATAAGAGTCTCTTAATTTACCAGCACTACTTTTCAAATGAGAACCAAAAGTACTATGGGTAAGATAATTTTGCTTGCAGTTATTCTTTGCTGAGAAAATTACATACTGTCCAAATTCTTTTAATCCACATATCTGCTTATTAACATTTATTGAAATATAAAAAAAAAAAAATGAAGGGGTAGTTGTTAAGAAGACAACAGTGTCTTTACTGTCATAAAACTAGTCATTTTGCAAGATATTGCTGTAAGAACCAGGCAGATAATCACAAAAGGAATACAAAGATGAGGGACAGCATTGTAGAAGTCTTCTAAAAGGTTTTCACAGGGGAATACAGGGTAGCCAGTCAGCATATTGACAAGCTAAATCCATTGGTTGCTGACCCATCCACCATCTTCAATGGCATTCCCACAACACACAGTGTTTTTTTTCTGTTGTTGATATGGCCAATGTTTTTTGGTCAGTTCCTTTAGCATCACTAAGCCAGCCATGACTCGCTTTCACTGTGGGGGATCAGTGGACACCTCTGCCGCAAGGACTTCACAACAGCCCCCGTACCAGTACCATCAAGCACCCAGAAATCATGATTTCCAACCACAGTGCACAAATTGCAAGTTTTGTCTGACTGTTGGTATGATGTTCTTATGGTGGAATGCAGTGTTAGTTTTATGACAGATGTAATGGGACTCACGTCATCCAAAAAGATCCACCTTTGACTCATCAGTACTCAGAATAGTGTCCCAAAAGTCATGGAGGTCATCTAGATGTTTTTTGGCAAATGTGAGCTGAGCCTTTGTTCTTTTTGGTCATCAGTGATTTGCACTTGCAACTCACCCATGGATACTATTTGTGCCCAGTGTCTCATTGTGGAATTATGCCCGTTGACCTTAACTGAGGTAAGTGAGGCCAGGATTTCTTTAGATGTTTGTCTGGGTTATTTTTTGACCTCCTGGATGAGTCATTGATGCACTCTTGGTGAGATTTAGGCCGGCCACTCCTATGAAGGTTTACCACTGTTTCAAGTTTTTTCCTTTTGTAAATAATGGCTCTCACTGTGGTTCGCTGGAGTCCCAGAGCCTCAACAATGGCTTTGTAACCCTTTTCCAGAGTTGTAGATTTCAATGACTTTGTTTCGCATCTGTATTTGAAAGTATTTAAATACATGGCATCAAGTGCTGCTTTTCAAACCTTCTAGCCTGCTTCTCATTGCCAGACAGGTTCTATTTAAGTGATGTTAAGATTCAACAGGTCTGGCAGTAATCATGCCTGGGAGTGGGCAGTGAAACTGAATTCAACAGTTAATTGAATTTGGTTAACTAGTTGATTTGGTAGCTAAGAGGACAATGACTTTTTCACATAGGGCCACGCAGAACTGAGCAGCATTTTCCTTTAATAAATAAATTCATCAATTTAAAAACAGCATTTTGTGTTTACTTGGATATTTTTTATTTTTTATTACAATACTAAAACATTTGAGTGTAACAAATATGCAAAAATAGAAAAAGAATTTGAAGGGGCAAATACTTTTTTCACAGCACTGTGTGTTAAAAAAAGCTTTTGGCATAACTTCAAATAGATTATTGTTTGTATTGTGAGTAGGAGTAGTTTTAACATCTGCTCTATAAAATAACTGCTACCTTAACAGTTCTTAATGGTGGTCATGAGAAATTCACTGCCCAACATTTGTGCCATGGTTCAGTTTCATCCACAGTGATTATTTTATATTTGATTTAAGGTACAGGATATAATGCAAACATATCTGACCTACATATAATACTGATGTTTATGAGGGAATGAATGACGTAAAACAGTGACTATTGGGTTTACAATGATAAAAATAGAGAGGCCTATACAATGTGTCCAAATGATATAAAATACAATCTAACAATACTTTGGATGAAAATGCATCTTGAAAATTGATTTACTTAAAAAACGAATTATATACATTGTGATTGCATTATTGAAACATCCTTGCATTAGTGCAGTCCATCTTAATACTTTGAAGAAAAAAAAATGAAAAAAACTGACATCAAACATCATATAAATAAAATTACAGGCTGTACAATAAAAATAAAATTAGCAATGTAGCATGTATTATGATAAAAACATATGTGTACTTCTATAACAGCAGTGCAGATATAATGTTATTGTGGTCTAATCTGGAGATATAGTCTCAATTATCTGGTTGTCCTTTCTCACTGTATGGTGGAGGACTTTCCATTAGTGGACTGTAAATGGCGGCACTGTTAACTTCATACAGTGGATGCTGTAAAGCAAAGAATATGTACATATTGTAAAAGCTGCACAATGTAAACTTAAAAAAAAAATAAAAAATAAAAAAAAACTAACAGGCAGCTTAGTTGCCAGTAAAGGGCTGTAAATATATAGTACAAAACTGTACCACATGTTAATGTAATTTTGCTCAAATTTTGCAGTATTTACTCTTAGACTCAAAGGCTAATTTTACATATTATTACCTGTTCACTGGTGTATACAGGACATCCTGCTTGGTTTGGAGCCACAATGATATTCACCTACAGACATACAGAGAGATTCATAAGCTGCATAGTTTATACAGGGTCACTATACAAGGTCATTACAGCAGATAGAAAACATGTGTAAACTACGTTCACTGACAGTCATCTCTTGATCAAAGGGGAGCAGTGTAAACAACAAAACTCAGCAACAACAGTATTAAGGAATATACCCACTGGGTATTTTATTGCATCTCTGAAACTGTCCTTATTTTATCTGAAACTTACAGAAGGTCCAGTGCTGCAGGTGGCTTTACAGGCAAAGGCTGAGACACAGATGGAGATGATGAACTGAATTATGGAACAAATCACCAGCAATATAATCACAAAGTCTGGGCTCTAAAAAATAAAACAAAGGTAAAGTTAATTTCATCATAATCTGGTTTGTTCTTGCAGTTTACAAAGCCAGAAGACTTCATAGCTAATGGCAAATTCTTATTTTTCAGCAACAGATAAAAAGCAGCATTTTACACACACACACACACACACACACACACACACACAAACACACACACACACACACAGACATACATAAATTCATGTAGATTAAAAGAGTTTTTAATTTGGGGTGATAATGTGGGGAGGCGGTCCTGCTGCCAGGAGAGAATTCTGAAGAATCCCTCTCACAGCAGCAGTTCACTCAGCTAATCTATAGAAATTTTAATAAGTATTTTATTTTGATTGTCAGAACTGAGATCTGCATTGTTTTCCTGGATATCTATGAATCAGGCATTTACCCTGATCTTCCACACCGCCAGATTCTACAGCAGCAGACTGATCTGATGTGGAAATCGGCTCTTTATTCTGATTGTTTGTGCCACAAGATTCTACAGTTTGACTGATTATAATTCAAACCCTTGATAAACCTAACCAGACAGATTTAAACTAAAAGTCTGAGACATGAACAGATAGTGAAGTCTATTGAGTGGTCAGCTTTTATTTTTGCATGTATGGTTGCTTTTTTTCTCATATAGTTTTTGAATGATGGGTGCACAAGGTCAATGTGTGTAAATGATCATTTTTTGTAAAAGTCGATCAGCTTTTACTTAGTTTTTGTGTCAAACTGATGTCTTTTTAAACCTGGAGTTCTCTATGAGCTGCTAAAACCACTGAAAGCTGATTAGGGAGCATCTTTGAGCACAAAGCATCACCACAAAACCTTATGAGCCTTTTAGCAGAGAGAGCACAAAGGATGGGCAGTTTTTAGAATGACCTCTATTTATGATTACTGTTGATGAGGGGTCTCACATAAAGATTTCAAATGATCGTTTGATTTTGGCATGAAAATCATGTCTACACTCAAACAAATTATACTGTTATCACCTATAATCTGCATTCTGATTCATTTAACAGTCATTCTTTGTATTTGGCAGGTGTTAAGTTGTTGTTAATAAGTTGTTAATGAAATTATGTTTCTCTTTTCTTTATTTAACTCAACATATTTAATTAAAGACTAGATGAATTACTTGTATTTAACTGACATTTGGAAATTGGAAATTAAATGAATGCAGGGTGGTCTCTGACTGTCAATCAAATAAAAGGATGTGATATACAATTGATTGTCATGTCATAACAAATAAAAAAATCTTACCATTGAACAACCATTGTCAGATACAAAAACCGGTGAAAACAGGGTGATGGTTATTGCTGCAGTTATTGTGCTTATCACATTCATCACCAGAGCACCCGTCACCTAGATGAGAAACAGAAAACAAAAGCAAAAGATGAGCACCAATAAACAAATTTTCATTCAATTACTTTAATTTCCAAAATTACAATCAGACTGAAACACAAAAGGCAACTGAAACCACATTTCTAAGTAAAATGCATGACAGTATAATCAGAGAGGGAACATATGCTATCCACTGTATTTCAGTCTTGAGGCTAGCAAGCTAATCTGTTATGAACATAGTCTTTAATTGCTAACAGTCAGTTAGCTTGCCTAATCTGCTGTGGAACATAGACTAGCAAGTCACCTCTTTTAGATGAATATTTGCTCTCACAAAATAATAGAAAAGCTTTTTTTTCTTTAAAAAAAAAAGAAAAAACATTTGAATTTGGAACAGTGACAGATTTATATTCCATTTCTAATAAACTGGTGTGTACAGTTGTTAGAGTTGTTAGCCGGAAGACCGGCTCAGTTCCGGCTAACTTATGCTAACCCACAACGAATACAGGCTCAAATCTGAGCAAGGAAGTCGAGTGTCTGGTGCTGGAGTGAAAGAAAAGGTGAAACTAACTAGGTTCTGTGATGTATGTGGTTCTTAGCTTGCTGGCTAACAGGCTAATGGCTTCCCACATCACAGATAAAACCAGAAATGACTGGTGATGTAGTTACAGATAAAACAGTAAGTTATTATTTCAACTGAGCTGTGATTTGGTAACTAGATGCTAAGTGACTTAAAATCCTGCATCAGTATAATAATATTTGTGAAAACTTTGTTCTCTCTTCTTCTTTCTAAGGTTTATCCAAATGTGTACTTATCTTGTGATGACCTCCACGTGTCCTAGGTTTTTTTTAGCATTTTGTTTAGTATTTTTTTCTATCAGTGTATTTGTAATCACCCAAAATAAATATGTCTGTCATAAGCATTTTAAACTTTAACAAAACAATTCCATGAGTATGTCCTTCTTTCCATCTTTCACAATTGCTTATTGACTGTAATAACCATTAAAGACCATAAAAGAGCAGTTTAAGAACACTTAAATTAATTATTAATTAATATTAATTAAATTGTTTACTCCTTGTTTCAGAAAGTTAACATATTGCGTTGTTCATCAAGCTGAAGTAGGCTTTTATTCATATTTCCATGCCACCTCAAATTTTGGAAAGAGATCATTGAGATTTAAGGTGATTTAACATAAAATTTGAGATCTACGGCCTCCTGCTTCATTCAGAATTCATTCTTCAATAAAATGTGGACCAGAATCTGCCCACTTTTAAGGATGTAGACAACGCTGCGAGATGGTGGGCTTCTGTATTTGAAACTGAAAAATACTCTAAGGTGGGGAGGTGCCCATGAAGACTGTGCCCATGCTTTGTTTCTAGGTAGTAAAACATTTTTGCTTGACTGAACCACTTGTCTAATGCTAGGCCTTCCTCCCACAGTCCAAAGACATGCAGTCAGGCCTCATCGTCCATTTTATCAGCTCCACTTCAGTGGTCAGGACTCCCATAGACCCCCACAGAGCAGGTACTCAGCACTGCAGTAACACTGACATGGTGGTGGTGTGTTAGAGTGTGTTGTGCTGGTACGAGTGGATCAGACACTGCAGTACTGCTGGAGTGCAGAGACCTCCATCTGTTAAGGGGCGAGTGTAGGGGAGACTGTGTAGCACAGTGAGATAGACTTCAGATGTTCATTCTGTTGTCTCTCTCTCCCACACATATATAGACTCACTGGAAACTTTTAAGGTACTCCTAACTTACAGATTGCAGTGTAGCTGTTTCTCTGCATACCTTTTAGCCCCATTTCACCCTGTTCTTTAGTGGTCAGATCCCCCACAGGGCCACCAAGGAGCAGGTATTATTTGGGTGGTGTATTGGACACAGCAGTGATGCTAGCGTTTTTATATGCTATCGCCACTCACTGGCCACTCTATTAGACACTTTTACGTTGTTGGTCCACCTTGTAGATGTAAAGTCAGAGACTGCAGCTCATCTGTTGCTGCACAGTTGTGTTGGTCATCCCTCATCAGTGGTCACAGGAAGCTGTTGGTTTTCTCACTCCAGCAGTGACACTAAGGGGTTTAAAGCATTGCTGTGTCTCATATACTTGTACCAGTACCACACATATCATAGAAATGATAATAAAACCTGCTCTGTGGTGGTCCTGCAGCTGGGGTCCTGATCATTAATGAATTAGGTGAGAGGGTTGACTATCCAGAGAAACAGATGAACTACAATCTGCAATTGCAGAACTACAAAGTGCACCTCTACATTAGATGGACCTGATTAAATGGAAAATGAGCACAGATACAAGGTAGCAGTACATAATTAAGTGGCCAGTGAGTGTATTTATGTATATATAATCAAGTTTAATAGTGAACTGCACTCACCAATGTAGTTTATATATATATATATATATATATATATATATATATATATATATATATTTTTTTTTTGGTAAACATTGTAACTGTTTCTTTACTTATATAATTGTTATTTTAACTACTTTTTTTCTGAATTGTAAGTTCTGTATATGTTTAGATAATTAAAGCAATTACTTCAAAATGCTTTGTGGTGTGATCTGTTCATGTCCACATACTGGTGAACACAGGTGAGCTTTAAGTTTTGGGACATTTACAAGACATGATACTGTATACAGTGGCTTAATGTATGACATTACAGATTATTTGCAGATTATTAATTGCTCAACTCAAAGAGCTTTTCTCAAGACTAGTTGTACTTCCTAGTATAACAAAAGTGCTTACATACCACACAGCGATGAAGGTTTTTACTTGCTGAAACAGCCAGAGAGCCGGTGATGATATACTGAGTGAGAGGAAAAATGAAAGAGTTTTCATTTAAATTAGTATTGGGGAATATTTATAGAAGTATCTCTATCTGATGGAATACCAGTGGATAAAACTTACCATGAAAGCACCCAAAAATGCAATTCCACCGAAGACAGTGAACCCGGGCATACTTAAGTTCATCAAAATACCAAGCAAGAGTGTCAACAAACCGATGGTAATTTGAACACTCTGTGGAAAAAAGAAACAAAGATATTTGACTGATTTCAATACTGGTTGAATTTGAACACTGAAAGTTGTAGACCTCTATTGCAGCTGATGTAAATACATTTTCAGTAGAGCTCATATGAGTCATTTTTAATAAACTTCAGTGCATGTAGGATGTTTAACTAAAATAATAATTTTGAATGTCTCTGTATGTCACTCCATGACAACTTGCCCAAATAATGTTTCAACAAAATGTTTAAATGAGAAAAATGTGATTTCTAATGCAAATGTTTATATTCATAGAGATTCATTACAGCAAATACAAAAATAATAAGTTTCATAATAAGTTTCATAACCATCGCTCACATATGCAATGAACTTAGTTCTAATAGTCACTTAACACTCTGATTCTTGAATTTCAAACATTCAGCAAATGTGAATTCCCTATTTCTGAAATTCCCTCTTTCTAAAGCCATCACCACTTTACAGACTCTTTTAAATGGCTGTATGTGCAACTGTATTACAGTCTGACATCCACTGATAAAAGTCTGACACACAACTGTGTGTAATCAGCATAGCTATCACAGCCGATCTCATGTTTTCTAATGACGACATTTACCAAGAAGTGACATACACAAAGAGAAAAGCAAATGCCAAGAAACCAAACCCACTGTGACTCCACGGGAAATTTCTGTTCATTCAATGTAACCTGAACCATCCACTGACATGGGTATGCTTCCATAATAAACAAACTGAACAAGCTCAGGCTTTTCCCCTGCTTCACCTTGGCAGAGACTGTAAGTCTTATTTCTGGGAATGTGCTGACTCACTGAGTACTTCAAAAAAACGGAAATGTTCTTTCCTGTGTTGCAATCCCTTCAGTACATAAAATGATCATATTAAACTTGTGTTTCCTCATGTTCGCTTGTCATAGATTACATTTTGTATGAGGATCTGAAACAACTTATTGTGACAAATGTACAATAATAAGGAAGAAATCAAGAGGGGGCAAACACTTTTTCATGGCACTTTACGTAAATACATTTTTCTGTGACAATCCATTCAAAGCAAGTTTTTACATTTACTTAACTATATTTCATATGTATGTTTTGTTTTGTTTTTGTTTTACATTAACAATGCTTAAACACGTCCACAAACGTATTTCAAAAAGGCAAGAGAAAAACAATTTTCTGTAATATGGGCTACTTAACACAAAAAACATGAGCAGTAGATTAGATGACTTACTCCTAATAATTTTGGTTTTCCTTTCAGAAATTTCTGAAGCGGACCTCCAGTGGACACAATTTGCCCAGGTTCAGTTGATGTTCGTGGGGAGATCACGTGGGTCACAATGGTGTAGCCACCCCCAGTGTTAGAGAGCGAAGCAGCAGTGTCAGACATCTTTAAAGCGAACTGAATTATTCACCTGTGAAAGACCAAACATTCATCACACTGTCAGTACAGAAGAACTAGAACAGAACTGTTAAAGATCACAATTAGACTGGCAGTGCTTGAGGGCAGTTAAAAGCTGCTGAATGTCCACTGTTCACTTCTCATTTTACTTTAAAATCAATGAAAATGTTTTGAAAGTAACGTTATTTTTATTAAGAAACTGTGTCCATGGAATGAAAACATGGACTTGCTGTTCTTTTAATGTTGCATTCTAAAGTGTGTTCAGATACTGAGGAGTTGCTATCACAGTTAACATTACCTGTTAAAAATGAGGTGAAAACAAACTAAATAAAACAAGACATATGAATGATGAACAGTAAACATTAAGTACACACAAGAGATAAGAGAGAAAATAGTTGAATAATATAGATTATTTGCATTTAAATCAATAAATACATTCAGAAAAGGGCTATATATTAGGTGGTTACTGTGACTAAACAGCGAAAACATAAAAAAATGTAAAAAAAGCATGAAACCAAGCCATTAATTGACTCACAGGCAAACAACTACAGATATACCTATTATAAATATATTACTCAACCACTGTTACCTGAAATGAAGAGCTGTTGTTTTCGTCGTGGAGTGCAGTTGGTGTTCACTGTTCCTTCCTCTTCTGAAAGACGTTTCTGTACCCCGCAGGAAGAGTGGCTTACACACTGCTTTCCACGGAAAATGAAAGTACGTATTGCTGCAAGCTGGACCAAGTCCAAGTAGGAGGGACTTAACTCCAAATGTCTCCGTCTGAGCTCCAAACAAGTTTGCATTGTGTTAAAGGCTTTGTTTGGGGTCTAAAACAAATACATGCAAACAGACTGAACTCTAGCAGGTCCAGCACTCATTATGACAATTCATGTTCATTTATAACTCAGTGCTTATCTCAATGCTAAGGAAATGTTTGCCGTGTAATATCGTACAGGACGAGAAACTCAGAGACATCAAAATGTCTGTCCATAACTCGGCTTTATTTCACTCATCACAGAACAGCACACAGAAAAGGGGAAAACATTGCCCTCAGGCTAGGGTGGCTCTCACCGTCAGCCTCAGCTCTCCTAAAATAAAACAACACAAAAATAATTTAAAGATCAGAATAACTCAACTAAAATTAACACCAAACAATAACGACATGTTTAAGTGAATCCATGAAGCCATTTACATTTCCTTTACAGTTTTACAATGAAAGCAATAAAGAAAGAAAGACAGAAAGAAAGGAAAATTGTTTGTCACAGAGTTTTTACCTTAATGTGGAAACCTTATCATAATTCTTTAATGTAAAATCCAAAGCCCTTACACAGAAAGTTTAGCTTTAGCTTCCCGCACTTCATTTTTTTCCCCCAATATTGTTACGAACCCCACGTTTTGCCTAGGGTATGTGGGATCGGTAACATGTGGAATTAAAATACTGAACTGGTGAGAATTGATTAGAAGCGTGAGGAACAGACCAAAATAGAGCTTTTAAAGCCATTTTTATTAAAAAAAAACATCAATAAAACCAGAGTGCTGTGATACCTAGTACCACACTGGAAGAATCAAACTGGACAGCACCAAAGAAAAGAACATATCAAAACCGAACCACGCTTGCCTACTCTGAAACCAAAAGTATTTAGCTAATCTAAAAAAGGGAACCAAAGCTAACTACCCTAAACTTCCCTTGCCGGTAAACAAAAGTACATGTGGCGGTGCCTGCCCTCTGACCTAGGGAGCTAGACAGAGTAGACATCTACGTGGTGCAAATGTATAGGCGCGCTCTCTCTTTCTCTGTCTGTATACACAACGAGAGTGGCAAAAGTACAGCACCCAATGAATTCTCTGTCTCTCCCATATACACAAACGCCACACTGTAAAAAGTGAAAAAAATGACTTAATTCTGTAACAAGCAATTGAACTAGTTTTAAGCAACTTAAAAAACTACATTGATTGAAAGAAGAATCGTTCATTCAACGTATTTATTTAGGATGAATAAAACTAGTTAGTTTACTTGCTACCAAATGATGTAACCATTCAGCGATGTTCAGACACGTGCGGATAAAAGTGAGAAGACAGGCTTCATTTACACCAGGCAGGGTCGTAGACAAAGTACAAGCGTGGGTCAAAACCAGGAAGCGATATTTGATCACGAATGTGATCATAACACCAGACAAACAAAATCCAGAGGGCAAGACAAAAGACAGAGTCGAAAATGCAGGCAAAAAGGTTCAGAATCCACCAAAAATCCATCAAAGGTACAAAAAGGCAAAAACAGAGTCAAAGAAAGAAGATAAGGGTCAATAAACAGAGTATGGCAAAACAGAAGAAACGCTCAGTAAGTTCAATAATGAAGCAATACCTCACAAATACCCTGTGCTAAAGCCCGGGCTTATATACTATACTAAACTAGACACATGACATAAACACACAGGTGAAACCATTCAGAATTCCGGTGACTGCAAGCACTGATAGGTGCGAGGCTGAACGTCACTGATCACATGATCTCCACTTGGCTGCTGGGTAATGGAGTCCATGAGGGACTCCGATTCTACAGGGAAGTCTGCCGTCACATGATCTCCCAAGTTGTCTTGGGAAATGTAATCCGTAACACTAGACAAATCTCTATAAGGCGTGACACATAAAGTACATTTTTTAGGTAGATCTGACGAGACACTTTTTACACTGTATCCTCACAGCTTTTGCCATGTACTGAACTAACACTGAATTGTTGTTTTACCATTATCTTCCATCTCCAACTGCAATGATTTTTACAAATAAATACATAAATAAAATAAAATAATAAAAACAATAGTTTCAACGTATTGTGATATCTGATTAACACTGACTTTAAAACCAAGAATTTTGTGGGTAAAATCATAAGTGGAGCACTTTAACTCAAGTCATATTTTACAAAGAGAATTTCTATTTTTACTCAAGTTCAGGAGGTTGGACTTTGTTCACTCCTGGCAAAAAGCTCCTGTAGCTGCAATGTGGTGGGTAGGAGGAAAAAGAAACACTGAAACAGGACTTTAGCAAAATTAATATTTGAAACTTTGGTTGTGGAAGCAGATCTATTAATCATAAAAACTATTAGAAGTGAAAAAGTTAGCTGAAAAAACACAATCCACTCTAGTCGAGTTCCTCACCAGTCAGAATTTTTGTGATTTTAAAATGAAAATGAAAAATTATGGTGCACGTAAGATTAAACTACAGAAAATAAAGAAACAAGTGGTTCAGTCACACAAAAAAATTTTTATTACCTAGAAACAAAGCATCTCTTTATAGACACCTCCACACCTTAGAGTATTTTCCAGTTTTAAAGACAGAAGCCCACAATCTCACAACTTCGTCTCTATTCTTAAAAGTGGGCAGACTCTGGTCCACATCATACTGACCAATCTACCAATTCTGAACAAAGCAGGAGGCTTTAGTTCTCTTATTCTAATTTTTCAGTAAATTTCCTTAAATCTAAATAGGCATGCACCCCCAGGAGATAACATTTTAAAACGCTACAAAACCTCTCTTAATGGTTACAGTCAGTCAGTGCTGGTGGTAGATCTAGAAACGTGAAGGTCATTACAAGAAGAGAACACATTTGGTTAAGCCTTAAAGCAGTGACATAAATAAAATAGGGCAAAGATTTCACTCACATTAGTCTGAAACAGGATTTTAGGTCACTTAGTGTCCAGTTAACAAATTACAGCTCAGTTAAAATAAAAATTTACTGTTTTAATTGTAAGTGCAGCACCAGTCGCTCCCTCAGATTTCTGTTTTTATTATTTAAACTCCTGTGAGTGAAGCATCAAACCTGGTCTGTGGTGTGTGAAGCCAAAAGCCTGCTGTCCAGCAAGCTAACAACCCCACACATCACAGAACCAGGCTAATTTCTTCTTTTCTGTCACTTCAACACCAGACACTCGACGTCTCTTGCTCAGATTTGAGCCTTTATTCGTCGTGGGTTAGCATGAGTTAGCCGGAACTGAGGCAGGCTTCCAGCGGAGCTATTAACTTAGGCTGCTATCGTTAGCTAATCTTGTGCAAACAGGTTAGCTAGTTAGCTAAATAACTTAGCTAGCTAGCTAACATCTCTAACAAGTGTAAACAGCAGTTTAGTAAAATATAGCTAGCTACATTAGAATATAACTTCGACACCGTTCCAAGTTCAAATTTGTATTTTTGTGCTTGTAGTTATATATATATATATATATATATATATATATATATATATATATTTATAGTTATTATTTTGTGAGAGCAAACATTCATCTAAAAGAGGTGACTTGCTAGTGTAACTACCACAGCAGATGATAGCAGTCAGTTCGCAGTTATCAGTGATGCTCATTTTAATTTTAACAGATAAACAGTTCAACGTTAAGTTCTGGAACATTACTAGCAATTTGCAAAGTGGAGTAAAGTCACTGTAACAAGTGCCTCTACCCAGATAGTGAGAGTATGTTGGCCTGTGTTAAATTGTGCCATCAGAAGAATGGTGAGCCATGTTTGACTGTTTTTTCAGATTGTTGGATGATGGTAGCTAAGAATCGATGTTGAACGAGGGCAGATTCTGTTTTCCAAGCAGCAACAGAAGTTAAACCAGCCCCAAAAACCCCTGTGCCCCCTCTGGCTTTCATCTATGAGGGGAGCCCTGGTGAGGACCCCAGATTTGTGCTTTGTTTTCAGCACTGTTTTGAGCTGCACTCAAATTAAATTTAGTTAATGTAGCTGTCGGTGGTGAGGCTAAGGAGTGGACAGAGACTATTCAGGGGAAGAGCTGACGGACACCTGGGTCTCTTGATACATTTACTTGATAGAGTTTTAAAGTGTTATTAATCAACGTAAAAATAAAGATATGTGCTGTGAACAGTCCTATAATGGAATTAGATAAAAGCAGAACTGTGGTTTGGTTACCATGTCACCACACAAGTGTTTCACTACAGCTAAATGTTAGGAAAATTGACATTTTCTGTATTGCAGCATAAGAACACTCATTATATAGAAAATCACACAACTGCTGCAATCAGAAAAATCCTGTTGAAACAAAATGTTCACTCAAAGTTAATTACACTCACCCTACTACACATAAGTAATTGTGTAAGAGAACCTATGCTGTTACATCATCAAGATGTGTATTTACAAAAACTGTTCTACTGTAATCCATCCATAACACTGAATACATCACTACTAGGTACACTGTTATTGCATGTATTGTTAATATGTAACTACACAGTTATTAGGGATAAACATAAAGTGGGAACTCTACATAGTGTATTATTTCTATTAAAAATTGTTCTAGTCTGCAGAGTATTTGATAACACGAACAAAACAAACTACTAAAATGCTATTTGTAGCACAGAACTGTTTTCACTTAAGGTCCAAGTGATCCCAAACACATTCAGTGATGTTGATGTCTGGACTCATTGAAGGTTAATTTTTTACTCTCTCTCAAAGTTGAAAGCTTTCAGGTTTGTTTATCTATTTCAGTTTTCAGAGGTTTTTGATCAGCTTTGTTGGCCTACCATTTCTTGCAGGTGGTTGATATGAGTCTCATATTCTCTGTAGGGTCCCACTTTATATTGTGTCTCTAATAGCTGTGTAGTTAGACATGAATAACATATGCAACAACATTGTAACTACTAATTGTTTAGTCACTGTTACAGATGGATTACAGAAGTACAGCCTATGTAATTACACAAGTGTATCTTTTTTGATACACAACAGATCAGAAGTCTTTTCCAGCAGTTAAAGAAAGTATGTGTTACATAACATTGCATCTATGTTTTATGTAATTAATGTGGAATAACTTTATTGTAACAGGGTTACCTAATCACACCACATTGATTAATACCATTTTTTAATTACACTGTACCTTTATAACAACTACGCGCTTTCCTGTAGTGTAGTGTTAAAGTTACACTTTAAAATAAGTGGACAGTTCCTGTGTAGTTGTTATGTAGGTACTGTGTAATAATGGAGTGGTAATATAGACATTGCTTTGGGGGGAAATGCAACACATTTAATTATTGTTATGAAAGGTACATTTTAAGATAAGGGGTCATCTACTGTAGCGTCACATTACAGAATGGTTTAAAGTTGAAACTGGTTACAGTGTCACAGCACCAGCAACATAAATGCTAGGTAAATTATAAGAAACCTGGCAGATACAGTGTAAGTAATGTCTTAATGTAAGTTATTACACACTGTCATTTATTGCTGGAAAACAACTTCTGAAAACAACTGCTTCTCCAGTTTGATTACAATGTAATTACATTTATATTATTACCCTTTTTAAATTATATGAGAGAGAATAGGCTGTTACAGCTAAGATACACATGTGTAATTACATAAGGTGTATTTCTGTAGTCCATCGGTAACAGTGACTAAATCATTGGTAGTTACATTGTTGTTGCATATGTTGTTCACATGTAACTGTACAGTTATTAGAGACACCTGATATAAAGTGGGACCCTCTGTAGCCTTTAATTTGTTCAACTCCAGTTTTAGAAAAACTGGAAAAACTTCTTAGTGTTTCACTCTGACCTGATACGTAAATATCTTCTGAAATATTAATAACTTTTGCTTGACATTGCTGTTGATCTGATGCATTCTTATTATACTGTCACTTCTCATTTATAATAATTTCATTCTTGTATTTAGAAATAAATAGAAAACTCATTGACCTTCTTAGGCTTTATAGGTTCATGGTGATCAAGCTGAACCTATAAAAACTCTCCTCACATTACTTCACTGCTAATAAATTCTAACAAATTCTTCCATCTGGAAAACTGGTCTAGTCTCTAAGATAAGGAATTATATATTTTTACAGCTTCATTTGTAGCTTACATTTCTTTCTTCAGTACAGGAAAAGGCACTAAAAATACTGTTCATGCTAACCTACACTACAGATGAAGCACATATGCAGACACACGATACGTCTTATATATAAAATAGAAAGTGTTAAAGATCATTGGTACAATGTTTAGAGTTCGGTCTTTATAACAGTTTTAATTTCCAATCAATAAAATAACTGCTACATTATCAGTTGTTGATGGTGGATGGACAGTAGAAATTCACTGCACAAAATCTGTGCCATGGTTAAGCTTATCCATAATAATTTTATGTTTTACTTGATCTACTTTACAGAATAAAACACAAACATATCTGCATATGACACTGATGTTCATGAGGGACAGAATGACTTAGGACAGTAACTATTAGTAAAGGTACTAAACTGTCACTGGAGCAGGACCTCTCGTCACTAGGGTGGGACCCTCAAGGGTACATCTCAGTATCTTTAGTCAGGGAACATAACTGTACCATAATCCACTGAAATGATATTTTCTAAGTTGTATTGACTCCACACACCCCGTCTCATCTCCAGGCTTTTTATTTTATTGTTCTGTTTTAAAACATCAGGTTATGAAAAGGTATAATTATGTACTTTTCACTGGGAAAAACTCATTTAAGGTTCACAATTGGACCTTAAAACCACTGCTGTACCTTTGAGAGAACATTTACATTGTTTGTATCTTGATGAATGAAAAATGTACCTGCACAGAACCTTTATTTCTAACAGTGTTGGGTTTACAAAAAAAAACAAACAAACAAAAAAAAAACAATGACTATAAAAACAAACAATAGTTTGTCCAAACATGCATAGTGGATTTTTTTTTATTTAAAAAAATAGATATTTTCGTCACACTATTAAAATATCTTTGCATCAGAGCAGTCCGTCTGTATATGACTGTATAGTTCTACAGTTGCAGTCCATATGTAACGTTATTGTGGTGTTTATTCTGGAGATTTTTCAGTCTCAGTTAATTAGCCTTTTATCTTGGTGTACTCTGGAGGACTTTCCATTGGTGGACTGTTCATGGTGGTCACTGCTGGTTGGCAAAGGGCTGTAAATATACACCACAGAACTGTAACACATTTTAAAGTAATTTTGCTCTAATTTTACAGTATTAACTCATCTGACTCCAAGGCTAATTTTGCATATTATTACCTGTTTACTGGGGTAATCAGGACATCCTGCTTGGTTTGGAACCAAAGTGATGTTCACCTACAGACATACAGAGATTTATAAGCTGCAAAGTTTATACAGGGTGAGTCACTATACAAGGTCATTACAGCAGATAGAAAACATGTATAAACTATGTTCATTGACAGTCATCTCTTGATCAAAGTGAAGACATTGCAAACAACAAAATTCAGCAACAACAATAGTAAGGAAATCTACCCATTGGGTATTTTATTGCATCTCTGAAACTGTCCCTATTTTTCTAATACCTACAGAAGGTTCAGCGCTACAGATGGCTTTACTGGCAAAGGCTGAGACACAGATGGAGATGGTGAACTGCACGATGGAAAAAATGATCAGCACTGCGAGAACTCCAACGATCAGGCCCTAAAAGTAATTTCATTATAATCTGGTTCATTCTTAAAATGTACAAACTATGCAACCCATGTGAAGACTTCATAGCGAAAACTGCTAGCTGGTAGATTAACAGGATTAACATTAATTCAGTGGAACCAGACTTTTTCCAAGTCATTTTGGGCTGTTTCCATTTGTCCAGTCACCATGAAATTTACACACAATGTAATGGGTAACATGAATTTTCAAATGATCTCGAAAACTGAAAAATGACAAAAATGGAGATACAAGGTTTTGTTCTGACAGCAGTGATATATATATGTTGGGATGGGGGAAAAAATGGATTCTCAGATGCATCACGATGCGAACGTGGACGATTCTGAATCGATTCACAAATGTCAAAAATCGATTTTCTAAATTTTAATCTATAATGTAATGTTGTTGGAAACTTGGAAGTGCGGAAGTGCAGCACCCGGACAGTCTGTGGTGGCACATAACAAAAACACAACTGGATGAGCAAGATATCCGACCAGCACCCTCTGCATTAAAAGCCAGGTTAGGTCAGGAGTCGACAACCCAAATGTTAAGAAGAGCCATTTTGTCCTTTTTGAAAATGCAGACTTACTTTGCTCTGCTTTAAGCTTTAGCTCAAGTCTTTTCTCCCATCTCCGCCAGAAAAGTTTTCTTCAAGAGTAGATCACTTTCTTGTAAAATATCTCTCAACGTTCAACTGTTTTACGAGGCTGAAGTCGCTTCTTATTCTCCAGCTTCTTGTGTGAATTTTCCTGTTCCACCTTAAATTGTGACTGAGGCGGCGAATGTGAATGTGGCACCATTTAAGGTGGACCGGGACAATTCGAAAGAGAAGCTGACTTCAGCTTCTCAACGTTTAAGTGTTTGACAGTCTCTCGTTGCAGATTTAATGTACCAGGAAACAACTGCATTGCTTATAAATGTGAATAACGCATCGTTGCTATGTGACCTGCAGTCTGCATGCCAGTTCTCAGTCATTGCGAACCAGGGTTTTCATGCTATGTTGCACACGTCCCATCTCAAAGATATTTTTCTGACACAGCGATCCCCACTGTCTACAATGAAACCGAAGTTATAAAATCACTCAAGAAAAAGGGTAGGACGGCTGTAACGTGCTGCGTGGACATTTATTGAAACTGGATCTTATTTTACCGTAACTGCACATTTTATTGCAGGTGAGTGGCAACCAGTGTCTCATGTGCTCCAAATGAGAGCAGTGAATGAGAGTCTTCTGGTTCACTTACCACATCACTTCCATTTGATTTATTAATAAAAGATATTGGAAGTAAATGCACTATGGATCATTACAAATGCTTTGCTTTAAAAGTACCAAGTCCTCACACAATGAGAAAAAAGAAATCCTATATAGGAAAAAAAGATGCCTCAAGATGCATTGATAATCGTTATATAATCGCATCGCAGCCCTCTGAATTGTAATCAAATCGAATCGTGAGGTGCCTAGAGATTTCCAACCCATATGTGTATATATATATATATATATATATATATATATATATATATATATATATATATATATAGACAAATGGAAACAACCCAAAATGATCTGGTTAAAAGTCTGGTTCCACTGAATTACATGTTAATGTTGTTAATAGGATATAAATGTATTATCAAACCTTTCATGACCTTAATTAAACAAATTTAAACCAAAAGTCTGAAACATGAACAGAGAGTGAATCTTTTTTTTTGCATGTATGGTTTCTTTCTTCTATAGTTTTTGACTAATGTGTGCAAAATGTAAATGTGTGTAAATGTTATTGTGTTATTATTTTATGTTATTATTTTTACCTAAGATGATCAACTCCGACTTAGTTTTTGTGTGAAATTGATGCCTTTTTAAACTCATCACACACATTGATCTCTATAAGTGGGTGAAACTGCTGAGAGCTAATTAGGATTAGGGAGCGTCTACAAATCACCATCATCAAAAACCAACCATGATACACCAACATGAAACCTTATAGGTAAGTACAGCCTTTCAGCAGATAGAACACAAAGAATGGACAGTTTTTAGCATGACTTCTATCGATGATTACTGTTCATGAGTGGTCTTAAAAGAAGAATTTTACCAAATTGATTTTTTTTTTTAATTTCCATGATCAACACACTTTAACAATTTAGGCAAAAAAGGAAATGTTACAGGAGAGCAGTGCAGTTTATACACACACACACACACACACACACACACACACACACACACACACACACATACATTTTCCAAACTGCTTATCCTTGTGGGTTGCAGGGAGTACAGTTTAGAAAAAAAATTAATTTGATCCAGTGCACTGTACCATTCTACACTGATTACTTGTTCCTTTGTGTTTTAGCCTGAGAGCTTTTGGTTTCAGAGTACCAGTTTATTTTTTATTTTCATATTAAAATTACTCAGTTTGTTTTTTTCCTGGGGAGCAAAATTTGATATCTGTACTTCAGGGTTTGAGTATACATGTAAACATGCCCCACTTTGAACATATATATATATATATATATATATATATATATATATATATATATATATATATATATATATATAATACAATAACATACATATGTTGTTTAAAAAATTATCAATATTGAATCCATATTTAACAATGTTTATGCCGTATATCAGCGTTGGTTGTGTTTAATATCAAAGGTAATTAGATGTATTCTAGCTGTTATACAATACTATGTTGTCCTTCCTTATGCACGTGAATTATCTTATATCTAATCTACTCAGATATATCTCCTGAAAAATGAGTTACTTGTATTTAAGTGCCATTTTCACTGGAAATTACATTAATGCAGGGTGGTCTCTGACTGTGAATCAAATAAAAGAATGTGATGCACAACTGACTGTCATGTTATGAAAAATCAAAAAATCTTACCTCAGAGTAGCAATTATTCAAACGATAGTTGCAAAGAAATATCATATCCATCGAAAGCAGGACGATGGCTATTCCTGCAGTTATGGTGCTTATCACATTCATCACCAGAGCACCCATCACCTAGATGAGAGTCAGAAAAGTAAAGCAAAAGATGGGCACCAACAGATACATTCTCATTCAACTACTTTGATTTCTAAAATTACAGTCTTACAGAAACACAACACGCAACTGAAACAACATTTAGAAATGTATGATTTTATGATCAAAGAGGGAGCATATCGCTGCTGTCAGAAGAAAACCTGTGTCTCCATTTTTCGTTTTTCAGTTTTATAGATAATTTGAAAATGCCTGTTGCCCTTTACATTGTGTGTAAATTTCACGAAGAATGGACCAAAAAATGGCCCAAAATGACTTGGAAAAATGTCTGGTTCCATTGACTTACATTAAAAGTAAAGTAGGTTTTTTTCCTTCTCCTGTAAAGTTACCATTTTGGGAATATGAGGTTTTCTTCCGACAACAGCGATATGCTGTCTAAGTGTTTGTCTTATCACTGAGACACTGAGAGTTTAATCACTGGCTGACTTTTCTAAATAAAAATGGTAAAGCTGAGAGTGTGATAACATGAAAAGTGTCTGTGCAGTAACTGCCTTCCAACCTCACAGATAAAGAAATTACATACTATATCATTTTTACTGAAACTGACATTTCAAGCCAGAAGCACTGCACCACACTACTCATTTACATTTATTCAAAGCCTTCACACCTCATGCATACTGTAGGCAGCATTTACAGCAGGTTACTAGAACATACAACATTCCTGCTGTGTTTGCTATTGTACAGTTAATATGGCAACAACTACAACAACATTAGCCGAAGACAGACATTTCAGCTGAGCTGCCTGTAAGTTAGCTTGTAAAGTCTCTTTCAAATAGATAATAACTCAATTGCTCTCTTCACAAATCTGATAATAAGATCTCATGGTCAGTGAAGACAGCTGCACATTACAATTACTCATCTACTGCAACAAAACACAGATATGTGGACTCTCAGCTCTACATCAGTTATATTCAGTCTGAATGAACAAGTCTTGCTATTTACACTCATTGGTCTGGAATTTAACTTCATCTCTTATTTCCTTTCCTTGATTTTTCCTGATCTGTAATCCATGAACTCTGAGCTGACTGGCTAGTTGCCATCCACATGGCTTCAGCTGAGGTAAAATCAAGGAAATCATATAAGAATGAAGTTTCATTCAACTTGTTTTGTGTTGCATTGCACCTCTAAAACAATGACAACTCCTATATGTGAAATATCTCAAATAAATCTAGGAATCTTTATGAAATAACAAATATTTTAAATAGCATGTTGTAGTAGAAGGATATATAGAATATTTACACCAAGTCCAACTAGGCAGATTTGTTTTTCTTAAATGCAGCACATTTTTGTGCCAAACATTGAACTTTGTCCATCAAACTAGCTCACAACAACAACTTTATTCAAAAAAGGAATTCTTGTCATTTTTTTCTTGTATTTGTTTTACACATTGATTTTAAGGAAATACTCTTTTTTTACAAGCAAAACACATATAAGTCCAAGATAAATAGGTTAAACCATTTGCGTAGGTGCCTAAATTGATTTGCTCAGAAATAAATATACATCCTTATATTTTTGTGAGCTCTCATATTTTGCCAAAATGTGTTTTATTATATGTAGTGTTGAAATCTTTGTTTTTTGGGTGTTTTTAAAAATAATGATACTGATAATCAAATTAGCTCAAAATTAGTTGACTTATTTATCTATTTTATGAGTAATTAATCATGCGTTAACAACATGGTACAGTTTCAATGATTTTTAATGTAAAGCATTATTGAAATAAGTCTCGAAGCATCTTTCTGCAATGAATGTAAAAACACTAAAACTGTAGTTGGTGTTTACATACCACACAGTGATGAAGCTTGTTACTTGCTGAAACAGCCAGAGAGCCAGTGATGATGTACTGAATGAGAGGAAAAATGCAAGAGTTTTTGTTTAAATTGGTATCAGGGAATATTTATATATCTCAATCTGATGGAAGAAATGGATAAAGCTTACCATGAAAGCACCCCAAAATACAATTCCACTGAAGACAGTGAAGGCAGGAAAAAAGAAGGTTATCAAGATACCGAGCAAGAGTGTGAACAAACCGATCATTATTTGAACAGTCTGTGAAAGACAGAGATATTTGATTGATCTCAATACTGGTTATATTTGAATACTGAAAGTTGTAGACCTCTATTGTAGCTTATACAAATGCATTTTCAATAGAGCTCAGATGAGTCAATGTTAATAACTTTAAGTGCATGTAGGATGTACAACTAAAATAAGGATTTTGAATGTCTCTGTATGTAACTGAAAGACAGCGCCAAATATTACTAATTTTATAATAATATATATCATATATATTGTTATTTATCTGTTAAAATGTGCTTTAGGGCCTGTTTAAGTTTTAAGTCCACTCCAGTTTAGTGGATTTGGAATGCACCATTTTGCCACCTTTTTTGTTGTGGGACGTTAGAGCTGGTTTCTCTCACTCTGGCTTGTGATGGTCTGCTGAGTGTTCTTATTGTGAATCATGGCACTTTTTTAACTCTTTGTTTATAATATGAAGGCTAAAAGCAGAGATATGACAGTAGTGAGTGAATTTTGGGTGATTTTGGAGCTCGATTGCTGGCCGATGGATGGTCACAGGTGGATGAAATCACTACGTTTTTTCGGGGCAGAGACTGATGAGTATCTGGTGTGTGAATCATGTCACTGATTTAACCCTGTATTGAGAACAGAGCAGTAGGATTTTGGGAGATTTTCAAAGCCAAATTATTCACTGATGCTTGATGATGTCACACTAGCTAGTTAGGGCCGCCAGGTCTGCTGAGTGTTCTGATATATGGACCATTCTGTACCTTAAACTGTTCTTAAGTAATAAAGGTTAGTCAACTATGCATTTTGCCGGCAAAATGGTGGCTTCGGGTCCGAAGTGCTGTATGCGCAACTGCATTACATTCTGACATCCACTGACAAAAGTCTGGCACACAACTCTGTGTCATTAGCATGGCTATCACTACTGATCTCATGTTTTCTGATGATGACATTTACCAAGAGGCAATATACACAAATAGACAGGCAAATATCCTAAAATCAAACCCACCCACTCCATAGGAAATTTCCCAATGTAACCAGGACTGTAACCATCTGTTTATTCAATGTGACTTAAACGTTCCACTAACATAATTATGCTTCCATAATAAACATAAAGTGAACAAGCTCAGGCTTTCTCCTTCCTACACTTTGGCAGAGACTGTAAATCTTATTTCTGGGAATCTGCTGGTCCACCAAGTACTTTTCAAGAAATGGAAACTAATTTTATTTTATCTTGTCTTTTTCATTTTTCTAGTTTTTAACTTACAATGCTTTAGTTCTCGCTTCCTTCTGTATAACTTGTATATGATATTGTGACAGGTTGTGGGGAGTCTATTTTCTTCTTTTATACATTTATTAATGTGTTCAATTACAAACCTCAATGATACATAAGAGTCAATATCTTATATTTTTTATTTTGTATTTTCATATAGTATTTTCTCAGAGGTCCTTAAGATTTTTTGCCAGTTTATGTATCAAAAAACAGTAATATTTCTTTTTTATACGACCATCTTTCAGTCTCATCCATTAGAATTAAATAAGCTGTTTTTGTTACTGTGTCTTCATGAATTGAATATGTAACAGGGCTCCAAACAAAAAAATTAGCTTTTTTAAGTGCCAAATAATAATAATACATATCCAGTCCACTCTTTTCATTAACAAGATTTGGGAGGTGAATTTGGTGAAACGTAGTTCATGTAGGCTGTGTGGAATTTAATTTTAAATTCTTTCTCTGCTGTTTTTTCACATGCATGAGACACTGCGCAGGCTGAGGGAGCTTCCTTAGAAGCACTCGTTGCAATAATGAAACTGCATGCATTTTTAAGTGTTTGTTTTTTTTTCTGTCTCTTTTTGAAACGATTCATTCCTGTTCAGAAATCCATCTTTGCTTGCTTTCGTATAGAATTTGCAATATAGTCTGCCTTGTGTTATCATGCCTGAATCATGCCAATTCCTGAAGCCAAAAAGTTCTGAAATCTTTCTGTGGTTTTACTTTTGCATGAAGTGGACAGTCACTCAAGTACATCTTCGTGTGCATCTGTCACTAGTTCCCTGGTCCTAACTGGGTCAGACTGGGATTGAGCAGATGACCTCTTAAGGTCTGACAGAGATGTAGATTGTATGAAAAAATCTGATATTTTCTCCATTTTCTACCCAGTAATTATTTTTGGGGTCATGTTTTGCTATGCTTGTTGAAATCATGCAAGCATGCAGCTGGTTTTTTGATAGGCGGACTAAGTCTATCGGTTACGTTTTTAGATGGAAAATGATAAAAGGAAATACACTAAAAAAGTAGGAAATACACTAAAAAAGTAAGAAGTACAGAAAAATAGTAATAAATAGTCACCCATAAAATGATAATAATATTACAAAGTTGCTACCTGTCACCACAGGCAAGTTAATTTCATTACTCGCTAATCAGTAATTGTGGTTGTAGTTGTGACCATTTTACTTGCTGTCTGGAGCCCTGTGTAAATGAGCTCTGTTCAGCTTGACTGGCCTGAATTGTGCCTCATTTAAAAAGCAGTCCAGACTGAAACGCTTCTTATGACATCCTCGTGAGTGGGTGGGGCTAAACTGCTATATACAGAATAGACTAATATATAGTGCTGTGAAAAAAGTGTTTACTCCTCCTGATATGTTATATATTTGCATATTTGTCACACCTTCTTGATGTAGATCTTCAAATTGTAATTTGGGACAACCTGAGTAAACAAATAATTTCATTTAAATTTGGGGAAAAAAGTGTCCAACACAGGCTGGCCCTGTGTGAAAATATGATATCCCATTTATTTACAATTAACCAAATTTAGTTGAAAATTGTGATTAATTAAACTAGACTCACCCTGGCTTCATTAATACAGCTCTATTGAATCTAAGTATCACTTAAATAGAACATTTCAAGCAGGGTGAAGTAAGCTAGTAGCACACTACACCACAAACAAAATAAAGTCAGGAAGAGATGAGAATGAAAGTCATTGAAATAATCAGTCAGTAAAGGGTTACAAAGCTATTTCTAGGGTTTTGAGTCTCCATCAACCCAAAAGCAGAGCCATAATGTCTAAATGGAGGAAATGTGGAACAGTGGTGAATCTTCCAGAAGTTGCCAGCCAATCAAAATTCCTCCAAGAGCACAATGATGGCTCACTCTCAAAGTCAGAAAAGGACCCAAATGAACATCTAAAGAACTGCAGGTCCTGCTCAACTCAGATCTAAAAATTACTGCAACCCAAGAGGAACATAAAGGCTTTGCCAAAAATACCTTGATGACCCCAAAGCCTTTTGGAATAATGTTCAGTGGGCTGAGGAGTCAAAAGTGGAACTTTCTGGAAGGTGTGGGTCCTGTTACATCTGGGCATAAAACTAACACAGCATTCCACAATAAGAACATCATACCAACAGAGAAACATGGTGGTGGCAGTGTGATGGCGTGGGGATAAACTGCTCATTCATGGCTTGCCGTAACCATGAATTCTGCTCTCTACCAGAAATTCTTGCAGGAGAATGCCTGCTCACCATGTGTGAAGAAATTTTGCAATTGGGCAATGTAGTGACAAGCCAAAGCACAAGTGGAAAGGTTTTAGAGTGGCCTACTCCTAAGGTTGAAATGAGCATGTCATGCTCAAAAGTCTTGTAATGTAGTTGCCCCACAGCAATAAGAAAGACTCATCTCCAGTCATAAGAAATGCTTGGTTGAAGCAGTTGCTGCTAAAGTTGGCATGAGTGGTGGTACAACAGGTGAGTGATATGGATGTTGCAAACCTTTTCCTTCAGTACATAAAATGATCATATTAAAAACTGTAATATGGGCTACTTAACACAAAAACATGATCAAACAGATTGGGTCACTTACTCCTAATGCTTTTGGTTCCCCTTTCAGAAATTTCTGAAGTGAACCCCCAGTGGAGACAATTTGCCCAAGTTCAGTTGATGTTGGTGGGGAGCTCACTTGGGTCACAAAGATGTGGTCATTCCCCGTTTTAGAGGCCAAAGCAGCAGTGTCCGACATCTTTAGAGTGAACTGAATTATTCACCTGTGAAAGATCAAACATTCATCACACTATCAGCACTACAGAACAATGATACCTGACAGCAGTTTAAAGATTTTGAATCTCCTACTTTTAAATTTCTAACATTTTTTTTAAACATGGACCTGCTGTTCTCTTCCTATTGCATTCTCACATCTCAAATACTGGAGTTTTGAATAATGTTCAGATAGGTTTGTTTTACAGAGTGACATCATCTTATATTAATATTGAACTATTAAGATGAGCAAAGCTCAATGCAAAAATATTGAAAATAAGGTTAAAATAAACTAAGCAAACCAAGACAAATGTAACATGAACAGCAAACCTGAAATACCCCCAAGAGAACATGTCACACTGGAAAATAAACTAATAATATATCTAATGTATATTTGTGTTGGCAAAAAACTGTCCTTATAAAAAAACAGTCAGTTACAGTCAGTTACTGTAAATAACCAGAAAATGAGCATGAAACCAGCCCAAAGAATTACCTGCAGGCACAAAATAACAGATATAACTATTATAAGTAGAACTTTATGATACATAGATGAAAAGATATCACATATGCAAGAAATAAGTTTGAAACATAAAATCCACCTCAGTTTCCTGAAAAGAAGTGCTGTCGTTTTCTTTGTGGAGTGTGGTTTGGTGTGTCCCGTCTCTCTTCTTCTTCTGAATGACTTTTCCTCTGAGCTGCCGTTATGAAAGGCATGGGAAATTTCAAGTTTGCTAAACAGCTTCATGTTCTATTGTGAAATGTAGAATTTAGAAAAACAATTAGGGCAGTGTGAGCTGTCCTACTACAACTCAGCCTGAGCCTCTGTGCTGTTACGAAAGCAGCTTGTTTCGGTTACTTCATCCTCAGTGAGGAGTGGCTTCACATAGAAAATGTAGAGGTGGGGGAGAAGGGCGGGGGCTTCCTGTGGCTTTTCCCAGATTGCCTGTCAACAGTAACCTCACATAATATAATCACATAGTGATACCATGACCATGTTCAAGTGAATTCAAATATTTACTAATTGTCATGTATCATTTATACCAAGACCACAAGGTCCCACTTTATATTAAATGTCTCTAATAACTGTGTAGTTACATGTGAACAACATATGCAACAACAATGTCACTGTTACAGATGGATTACAACTGTACACCTTATGTAATTACACACATAAATCGATTTTTGTGTGTAATTACATAAGGTGTAATTACACACATAAATCAATTTCAGTTTTGCCTCATGTAATAACACAAGTGTATCTTAATATTTGTAACAGCTTCTTCTCTCTCATGTAATTACACAAGGTTAATAATATAAATGTAATTACATTTGTAATTAGACTGGAACAGCATTTGTTTAGATTTTATTTTCCAGCAGTACATTAAGACATTGTTTACACTGTGTCTGCCAGCTTTCCTAACATTTAGCTAGCATTTATGTTGGTGTTGCTGTGACATTGTAAATGTTTCAACTTTAAACCATTCTGTAATGTGACAGTACTGCAGATGACCCCTTACCTTAAAATGTAACTCTTATGACATTAATTAAATGTGATGCATTTCTCCCAAAGCGATGTCTATATTACCACTCCATTATTACACAGTACCTACATACTAACTACACAGGAACTGTCCACTTATTCTAAAGTGTAACTATAACTTTAACACTACAATACAGTACTTTAACACTGCACTGCAGTACTTTAACACTGCACTACAGGTAGAAGATACACTTGTGTAATTGCATTAAGCAAAACTGAAGTTGATACACATGTACTTCTTCAATCCATCTGTAACAGTGACTAAATCATCGGTAGTTACAGAGTGATTGCATATGTTATTCATGTGTAACTACACAGTTACTAGACACACAATATAAAGTGGGACCAAACACAATAAAGAAAAAAGAAGAAAGAGTGTTTGTGGTATTATACATATATTCAGCTTGTTTCAGCTATTGTTACTCAACGCAGCCCTAAGCTTGATTCCAACTATGGTAACACCTGTGAGGTGTAAGCTTCTAATTCTCTTTTTTGGGGTTTACTGACAGCACAACATGTAACTCCTCTTATTCAATTTATATCATTATTCCATTTTCTTCTAATTTTTCTGCTGATTATTTTATCTGCTTACTCATTCCACAGTTTTTGAGACATTAAAAACCAATAACACTTTATAATAACTTGAATCAATATACCACTAACTAATGATTAATGGCTATGAACAAATCATTTGTTCATGGAAATGTGAAAATTAACAAATGTTTAAAATGACAGTTCATGGATTTGACAGTGTGCGCATTCATTTTGCTAATATGTTAACAACTTATTAGTTCATCAGAATTTGAAAATGTACAAATGTTTATGATTGACTGCTCATGTACAGCAGTGACACTGATATGGTGGTATTTATTATATATAAACCTTTTTACAGCATCTAATCCAAAGCTGACTAGTTTAACTGTTTGTAAAAGTTGTAAATGTTTATATCCCAGTAATGAACATATAGTACACATTTACACATCATCAATGAATTCAAACTAGGCAAAGAGTGTAATGAATTAGTGACTTTTAAAAGGATGAAATCTGCTCAACAATCACAAAAAGGAAAAAAAAAGCTCAACAATTACAAGTAAAAAAGAAATTTGTTAAACAATTGCAAAAATTAAAGACACTTGCTAGTGAAAGCAACAATTCAGCAAACATTCTTTCAAAGAATAAATATATTTTTATGTACAATGCACCTTAAGACAGCAAAGCTGTGTCAGGTATTTGTATTTATCAGAAATGGATTAAATGTATTTCTTAATTTTTTGTCAATTTTAACTAAGGTGGTCTTCCAATAAACCCATTGATTCTGTTTCCCCTCAACATCCACAAATTTTCCTTATATGCGCACCATGCCCTCTCAGTATGTATGGGCACCACTCCTGGGGTCTACATAGCAGACACTGTGCTTTACATTGCAATGAGAATATACCAGACATTCCAGAGCCCCTTGATAGCCCCACCACTCCTTGCTTATCACCGCTGTCCCAGTGCTCACATGCTGGATAGTAAGTGGTATAATGTGAGTTCTTGATCTTTGCCCTACCAATCGAGAGATCGGTTCCAATTTTTATCAAATATTTATTCAGTACCTTCTAATTTGTTTAATTGATGTGCATATATATGCTGTTATGATTAGCAAAAGGCAGCTGTATTTTCTTCTCTTGGATATATGCTGAGTGCTAAAACTCTGATGACAAGAACTAAATTAAGATGATTTTAGTTTCTTACTGTACATTTGAAAAGAGTACACTGTCAGAATAAAAGGTGCTATGCAGATATTTTTTGATCATAAGGTACAAACAGTGTAAATGTACCTTCAAAGTTACAGCACTGGTTTTGAGGTCCAACTATGTACAATAAATATTTTTTTTCCCAGGGAGAAGGTAAACATGTTTACATTTTCACAACTCAATGTTTTATAACAGAACATCATTATCATCTTAAACTGCTTGATCCAGCTAGGGTTGTGGTAGCAGTAGAGAAAGCAGAGAATCCCAGATGAACCTATCCCCCACGGGTTTTTCCAGCTCATTTGTTGGAATTCCGAGCTGCTCTGAGGCCAACATAGAGATATAATCTCCTAATGTCCTAATCAGCCTTCTCCAGTTAAACCTCTAACAAGAGGCGGCCAGGGGGCATCCTAATCAGATGCCTGAACCACCTCAACTGGCTCTTTTAAATGCAGAGGAGTAGCGGCTCTAGTTTGAGCTCCTCCCGGATGTCAGAGCCCCTAGCCCTATCAAGTAGAGTGTAGTCCACCACCCTGCAAAGAAAGCTCATTTCTGCTGCTTTTGCCCACAGTTTCAGTCATTACCCAAAGCTAATGACCATTGGTGAGGGCTGGGATGTAGACCAACCAGTAAACAGAGAATTTTGCCTTATGGCTCAGCTCCCTTTTCAACACTGCTGTCCATTACAGTGACTGCATTACTGCTGCTGCCTGTCCCAGCCTGTGGCCAATCTCACGATCCCTTCTCTCATCACTTGAGAAAAAAAAAAAACAACATATTGGAACTTCTCCTGTGGCAGGTCCTCTCCCCTTACCTGGAGGGGCACGCCATCCTTTTCGGAGGAAAGCACCATGGACCCAGACTTGGAGATGCTAATCCACATACCGACCATTTCACACTCCAGTTAGCGCTGGAGGAATCCATGCCATCCACAATCATTGAGTGAAAATAAGGCACAACCTTGGTGGAGTCCAACACCCACATTGATGAAGCTTAACTTAATGCTGAGTTTACTGATACAGCTCTCACTCCAGGCGTACAGAGACAGGGTGGCCCACAGTAGTGGCCCTGGGGCCCTCATACTCCTGGAGAACCTCCCACAGAATATCTAGAGGAACACTGTCATAAGCCTTTTTCAAGTCCATAAAACCCATGTAGACTAATCCCATGTAGGCAAACTATTATTCCCCCGCAAAAACTGTGATACCCCAGTAAATGGTGCACTGTCCAGTCACTTTTCTTAAAAATAGGAACCAGTTCCTGAAGTCTGTGCGACATTGCAAAGGCATGTCAGCCTTGACAGCCCCACAACATTCAGAGCATTTTTGGATGAATGTTATCCACCACCATTGCCTTGCCACTGATAAGCTTGCCAACTACCTCAGTGACCTCCACCAGGGAAATGGAGTCCGACACCCCAGAAGACTCTGACCATGACTCCTGTGAGAGAGGTATGTCTCTTGGGTTAAGGACCAGAAGTATCCTAATTTGAAGTCAGAGTTTCTCAACCCCTACTGAGTACAGCTTGAGCAAAGCCACTACAACAATTCCTGAGTTGCCGGATGGTTGTCCAGAAACTCCTTGAGGCCAATGAAAACTTTTTTTCCACGGCCTCTCCAAACTCCTCTCATTTCTGCAGTTCTGCATTTTGCTTCTGCCACCACCACCACTGCTGTCTTTTTTGCTCATCAGTACCTATCTGCTGAGTTGGGAGTCCTCCAGACCAACTAGTCCCTAGAGGCCTCCTTCTTCAGCTTAAAGGCCTCCCTCATGACTGGTATCCACAAGGTGGTTCTGGGGTTGCCCACCTGAAAAGCACCTACAAGCTTTTGACCACAGCTACACCTGGCGGCTTCCACAAAGGAAGTTTTGAACAGCATCCCTTTGGACTCCATGTCCCCTATCTCCTCCGGCACAGAGGTTCTTCCAGTTCATTGGTTTCACTAGGCACCAAGATTGGTAGCTTAACTCTTTTAGCACTTTGGTGTCTATGGTCATGGATAAATTGTTCAAGATGAATGGTTAGGTTGATGAGTTCATCTAGGGTTAAGTCTTCTTCTCTACAAGCTAATTCAGTGAGAATTTCAGAATTCTGTCTTTGTCGAAACATAACCAATCATGCTGGTTTGCTCCATCCACTACCAGCTGCCAGAGTGTGGAATTCAAGTTAGTAGTCTGAAACTAAACTGAACGATTACCTTGAGGGAGTTTTGTTAAAAGTTTGCCATTGACTTTTCCATCATGAGGGTGATATGAAAAACTGTTTGTATAATTATTTCTGGGTCTTGGGACATATTGTGGTTGCTCAAACTAAAGTTCTGTCTGTCAGATGTGATAGCCAAAAAGATATTTTAGTCTGATCAGAGCTTGGAGAAGAGTTATTTAAAAAATCAAGTGCTGGAGTAAAAACTGCGACATTTCTCAGGGTTCCCATCAAACTTAATAGGCTTACTGACCAAAAAAACAGAACTAGATGCATCAACAGGCATGCAAACATCGGTGACATTATCACTTCACAGACATACCAAAAGTTTGTAGTTGGGACATCAGCTTCAAATTCAAAAAGGCCAAAATACAGAGAACGACAAACATAACAAAACAGTATCACGCAACCAGGTCCAAAAGGGCAAAGACAAAAAGGCAAAGTCAAAAAGTCCAAAAATACAGTCAGGAAAACATGAAGGCAATATCACAGACAGAAATGCTCAGCAGCTCTACAGGGAGAAGTAATGCCTTG